ACGCGCTTGAAGCTCTATTTTTACACGCAGGCGCTAGCTATTACGTCAAAAATCATATAACGTCACTTTAGATAGGGGGACAAAAATGTCATTGAGAGGTTATGTGTGTGACGTCAGCTAGTGCCTAACAGTGCCTAATTGTCGCTCCCTACATTAGAATGCCAATGGTCACCTGACCTCACACCTGTTTTTGCCATATGCTTCACCCCCTCGCTCCTCATACGGAAAGTATCAGATTAAAAACGACAGACAATAAGTGTATCTATTTGTAAATGTAGAAAATGCAGTATCGATGACACCCAGAGAGGCAGTTCCGAGAAAATTCATCTAATGTACGTGAGGCATTCGTGCTATTGGTTTTTACAGAAAAGGTTGTGAGTACTGCTTCATGATCTGGAGAACCTGAACTAAAAACAGTACAGTCAACGAAATTTGGATCAAAAGATGACACGACTTAGTCGATAGTTCTACACTCTATTTTTTCCCAAGATAGATCTTGACATTGTCAACTTTGAAACATAAACAATATCGCGTGACTCTGATTGGTACCAAAATGCCGTGTCCTTGCAGGTGAGGTATCCTTTTACATGGTTGGAAAAGGATACCTTCGTCGAATGCAAGTACACGGCATCTTGCGACCAATAAGCGGCATTGTTTATGTTTCAAAGTTTTCATTGTCAAAATCTATCTTGGGAAAAAATAGACTGTAGATCTAGTTTTAGTAACTCGGGTTAGAGATTGGACATGCATGACTATACTAAAAGATTCAAATATAGACTGAAGAGATGCTCAAGCAACACACACTCAATACCCAATAGTTACACTAGGTTGAATAAAATATCGCAAATTGTCAAATCTCCTAAAGGATGAGTTTACTGGCTTCTTCAAGTAGGCACCCAAACGATACCAAAACTTCTGTAGAACCAAATTCTATCAGAATTAGTTTCTCAGCCTGTATTGAACCAAAAACTTGAAGGTCTACTGAGAAAAATTAGTGATAAAATGGACCGAAGAGCCGGCACAGCGGCAAGTCACTATTCTAGAATTCATTGACCGCCAATGATTTCAAGACTTGGGACGCTGAAAGAGTACACATTGGGTACCAACCAACTCACGTTTTTATTATTATTATTAGTATTTTAATTTTTATTATTATTAGTCTGACAGTAGGTGGAAAGTCCGATAAAAACTGCCACTTAATAATCATAACAATCAAACTTAATAATCTACAAATTCGCGATTCACATTTGTGAGGTCTCTATCCAGTCTGTTTTTGAAAGTGTTCAAGAATGGGGAATCCACAGTGTCTTGGCTGAGTGCGTTCTATACAAATACTACCCGGTTGGTAAGGATTGTAGGGAAGTTCTGTCTAGCAAGCTTTGCGCATCTTTTTTTTAGAGCTTTTTGGAGTGTCCTCTAGGCATCGTTTCGCCTCTCGTTACGAAGATATCCAGTTGGACGCTATAGTTTCCAGATATAATTTCCTGGGTCTGTATTAAGTGCCTCTTTGCCTGCGTTCTCTTAGAGTGGGTGTCGTTAACCTGGAACATCGAAAGTTCCTTCAGTTCGGTTGGTATTCGTGTTACATGGCGCTGTACGCGCTCCAGCAGTTCAATATCCTTAACGTAGTATGGGTTCTACGAACTCACAGCAAACTCAAGCATCGGTCCTATATATGCCTCATATATCTTTATAATTGCTGAACAGGAGTGATCCTTAAATGCTTTTTGGACAAGATATATGAAGGTGTTTGACTTTTTACTCTTCCCGCGATGTGGCTTTCCCATTTAAGATCTTTTGTCACACCTACTCCAAGGTGCTTTTGGTGGTCGACATCTTTGAGGGTTTCTCCAAGGAGGGTGTACTGAGTATTTGGGTTGTTTGGACCGATATGCAGCAGTGTGCACTGTTCGACATTCAGCGACATTAACCGAATATCCAGTCTATACCTCCACAGTCCTCAGATCGCTCTGCAGTGAGATGGCATCACATAGTGGATTACAGCATAATTTGGTGTCATCTGCGAAGAAGCAGATTCTGTTATTGATGTGGGTCACCCTATCGCTGGTATAAACCAATAACAGCAACGGTTCAAGAACCGAACCCTGAGGCACTCGAATCCTCACAGTTTTTTCGCTTGACAAGGCGCCATCTATCCTAACCTGAAACCTGCGCTTGGTAAGGAAGCCACCAATCCAGGATAGAAGTGGGCTCCTAACGCAATAGAGATCAAGCTTGTAAAGCAGCAAAGGCTTTTTCAAAGGCAAGGTATACGATATCCGCTGGTTGACCACTGTCATGCAAAGTAGTCCAGTCGCTGAGACATGAAAGAATTTTGGTTTGATTTTTTTTTGCAATTTATTGGTTTATTTGAAAAAGTCGGGGTTCGCATTTATGAGACGATCCAGTAGATAAGTAGCGAATCGAATTCAATGAAAACAAATACATCACGCTTATTTCAAATTTCAATTTTCCAAACACCTACCTACTGAGACGTATTTGAAAAGTTTTAATTGGAATTATTATTGCTTTTCAGAAACGAATGAATTTTCAAATTTGGAGTTGACACGGGGAATAGAGGGCGATGTAGAACTCCATTTTGAAAAAATACTAGGTTGGTTCTCAGGAAACTGTAAATCTGGCAACTAAAGGCGAGTTGTCAAATGTATTTCAGAAAGTGTTAAATGTATTTCAGAATGGTCAAATGTATTTCAGAAAGCGTTAAATGTATTTCAGAATAGTCAAATATATTTGAGAAAGCATTAAATGTATTTCAGAATAGTCAAATGTATTTGAGAAAGCGTTGAATGTATTTCAGAATAGTTAAATGTATTTCAGAAAGCGTAAAATGTATTTCAGAATAGCCAAGAGCATTTCAAAAAGTGAAAATTCGGCGAAAATAATTCAGGAGGGAGGCCACAAAAAAAATTACCTACCTTTGTCTGTGCAGTTCTTCCTACGTGAGCTCGACTGACCCAACAGGAGCTTAATAGTAGCATTTAACTATTCTGAAATTCATTTAACACTTTCTGAAATACATTTAACTATTCTGAAATACATTTAACGATTCTGAAATACATTTGACGCTTTCTGAAATACATTTAGCTATTCTGAAATACATTTGACGCTTTCTGAAATACATTTAACTATTCTGAAATACATTTGACGCTTTCTGAAATACATTTAACTATTCTGAAATACATTTGACACCTTCTGAAATACAATTGGAAAAGGTGTAGTTAACGCACATTCTTCAGTCAGTACCAATGAACTATAACCAAAAACTGGAATGCTAACACATATTGACGAACCTGAAGCCTAGTGCCGCTGCTGCGGAGGGGATACCTGTTTTTGTCGCACTCATTATGTTAAATGGCGGAAATTGCTTCCAACACGTATTCCAATTGATGAAACCTGTGAAGGTAAATATGACAAAACTTTCCAAAACGTCATATGTCAGCGAGCAACAGAAAAAAACAACATTCCCCTTTGTGGCATCTGTCTTTCATGGCTTCATTTTTTTGGCAGATATGGCAATGTGTGCGCATTCCAGCTTTTGGCTATAGTTCATTGGTCAGTACTATTAGAATAAGCGAAGAGTTCGCACCCTCGCGCCCTCTGAATGCTCTCCAGGAGCAAAACCCCCAAAAACCCCCGTTAGTACGCGCGATTTATAGTAAATGACTACTCTCTGTGTCTCAAGGCCTGACATGGTCTATATTATTGATTACAATTCATGTAATTAACCCCTAATTGTTGCAAGTCACCTAGGACGAGCAAAATTCTCTCGACGGGCTCCAACGTGCCTGTATATTGTTATGCTTTCATCTCAGTGGAAAATTCCCTAGCTGCTCGTGCGAATAGTGATAAATGGATAAATCATCGCCTTATGGATTTATCTGTATGAACCGGATTAAGCAAGTAAGACAGTTACAATTTCTCTAACAGTCGAACAATAAGTCAATAAATACTGATTGGGGATTCGCTTGAAATGCACTATAAATTGAAGTGTCTTCTCTAATGCTTATGCAGAAATTTGGTTTTCACACTCGTGAAATTAACATTTGTACATTTGTATATAGAAACTGAGCATATATAAAGACTTTTCTTGCACATATTGTTTACAGAGTTCCGCAGAAAAGTGCTCAAATTGTTAACTCTCAATAAATAAAAGAACTTTCAAGGATCAATAAACATTTTGTGATTACAGGTGAAGTGATTGAAGTTGACGAATTATTTATGTTGTTCTCGTGCATTTAATTAGTTGATTTTTGTTCTCGTTCATTGAACATTTAACCATAAATGGTGTTATTATCATTATCAGATTGCCCTACCCTTTATAAATCAAGATACTCATTTACTTTAGATTAGTATAAAATTTGTAGTTCGACTGGACGTCCAATTAGGAATTTTTAGATAGGATTTGATTGATCTATACCGAATTACTTTCATTTATTAATTAAATTGATAATTATTCTATTTTATCGTTTTATTTGTATAAATGAGAATCAAGGCACCCCTAACCCAATACAAGGCTTAAATGATCCAATACCTAGTGGTTAATTTTTACAGTCAGTCAAAGTAAAATTGTTTGGCATCCCTGGTGCCTGGTGACTAAAGCCCAAAAAGGGGCAATAGCTAGTTCCGTCACAGAAGTTATAAAACTGATCACGTGGGCCTGACATCATTTTCCTAGCGAAGGATTAACCGAACTTCACTTAAGTATAGATTATTCTCAAACAGCTGATTTTGGCACAAGTCGGTCGTTTTGAGCTAGGCAGAAAACTTAATCCCAATTTTGTTGTGCAACTTTCGTGGACATATAAAAACAGGCTAAACACTTTTGACAAACAGTGTCTACACTAGAACCACTTTGTTGGATGGTGTTGATATTAATTTTTTTGTACATACAATCGCGTTCAACATCGTGTATACACAAGCGCAACACACGCACCCAAAGTCGAAATTAAAATACGAATTCCAAAGTTATTCACAAATTGTTTTTATTTTCTATATAAATAGAAACAGATTAAAAAGTATAACAAAATAAATCAAGTACGATGCTAAAAACCTTAACTGCTAACAGGTGGTGAAATTGATATAAAAAACTTGATCTAAAATATTTACAATCTAAATTTGGCAATTTTAAAAGAAATAGTTTTATATAAAAATAAATAATAACATGGGCAAAATAAAATATTGACTATTGCTATCCTATAAAATGTTTATTATAGAACTAACCTCCTAATTATAGTTGAGTATAAAAATAAGGCACGTTTCAAAGAAAAAAAAAACGACACTGGCTTCACGAAGGACCATAAGGTGAAAGATTTCTTTAAGAATAGAAATAAAAATGGATTATTAAACAGGCGTGACAAATCTATATTGTGATATATAGATAACGCTTTCACTAGTTTATAGGTCACTACTGCCCACAATACTTGTTTGTCCAATCTTTTTACCTACGTATTCTAATTTCTAATAATTCGACATCAATAGTGAATGTAATATCAGGACTATTTTTTTAACTTTTAATTTAAAATATATCACCGCAAACAATACCAGCTCAATATTGAATATTATGTCCTCTCAAAAAAGCATCGATTTGACTAGCACCTAAAGCTCCCGTACCATCTACAGACGGCTGTATGTAATATACAGGCTGTTGTGCTGTAGCCGGCTTCTGCGCAATGCTTTGTTGCTGCTGTAGCTGTTGTTGCTGCTGTTGTCTAGCTTTTTGTTGCTGTGCATACAGTTGGGCTGAATTTTGAAACTGTAAACCAGCTTGTTGAGCTTGGTAGACTGCTTGTGGATTAATCTGTTATGGGGAAAATTGGTTTGTTTGTAATTATTTTGTTGGTTGAGAAACATAAAGTGCCCAGGTGTGCGTTGTACCATAACGATAAAGAATGAAAAGTGATTATTTGCAGCTGGTTGGAGAAAAGAAACAAGATTATCATGCAAAAATGTCCTAAAATGTTGTTCAATCGAAACCCAATTACCTACCTAGTTCTTGTCACCTTATAGATATTGCAATGGTGCAGTAAATTATAGACACGGCGTTATAGTGAGAAGAAGAATGAATGGACCTAGTCAACATGGAACTATTAATTATTACTAACCATGCTTGAAGTGAGCCAGCAACGCGTTGAGCACGAGAATAAACCAACTTTTGGAAGGAGCTCTTGTCGTGAAAACCAAAATAAAACGTCAGCTATGGCTCAACTTGGGTAGGTATACTATGCACATATACTTATTGAGAATAGGTAGAATCTGTAACTTCTGCGTATCTTGGAAATGCAAAATTGAGTTTACTCAAAATAATTGTGGAGAAAAAAAATGCGTATGCAAAAATGTCACTATGTATATTTTTTGTCTCTAGAACAATAACATTCTAACGGCTTAGTGATTCACGGCGTATTGGGTTGTGTGGAGGGTGAAATATGATATACAGATTCTGCCCTTTTCAATTTTTCGTGCGCCGTTATTATATTTCGGCTCCAGGACTGAGCAAAATTTGGTTCATTTCGCGATCAGAAAAAGAACGTTGAGGAAAATTAATATATCTTCATATTTCCTATATGATATGTGATCATAACAGTAAATACATGAACATGCTGTGCCATGACAAAAATGGTGGTTAGTGACATTTGTTTAGTTGACAGATTTTCTCAATATTCTGCATTATCGTCATAGACGCCATAACCAACCTGCTGCACTTGCTGTCTGTAGAGCGGGCTTTGTTGTTGGTATTGCTGTTGATATTGCTGTAGACTGACTGTAGGTCTTTGTTGCTGTAAGCTCACTGTGGGCCTTTGTTGCTGCTGCTGCTGCTGTTGCTGCTGGTGTACATAGGGCTGTATTCTTTGGTTGAAAGAAAAGTCACTTTCGGTTTGGGGTATGGATTGATAGAGTTGGTTTTTGTATTGACCTTCAAAATTATTAAATTATAGGAAGTAAGTTATTGAGGCACAACGTGTTTTTTTACCTGTAGTGGGATCATATACTAAAGCTGAACTGTAAAGCTGTCCTACAGCCTCAGGCCTGGTACCAACGCCTTTACTGGCTGAGCTCGGAGTGGGAGACACAACGTTGTTTTCTTGTTGGAATCTTTGGAATTCAGCGTCAAAATCAATCTGCGGACAGAACAACAAGACAATAGTTATTTTTTAGGCAAATGAGTTATATTACATATAGTGAGGACATAAAGTCCGTCGCCCTCCTTCTAACTTTTGAACCGCTCGGTATATTGCAACGAAGTTTCGAATGATGATATGTGAGCAAATCTCCATCCTCAATCAATCTGGTAGCGAAGCGGCATCCTCAATTTAATTCCCTGCTAGCAAGCACGCCGACTTCGAAGTGCAAGCTTTTTCGATGCGTGCCGACTTGTGTCATGCGCAGTACGGTAAAAAATAATAAAATTAAATTCAGGATTGAGGATGGGTATCAAATTCCCAGCACGCGTGCCGAATTGCCACTTTACTACCAGATTGATTGAGGATGTAGCTTTGATCACGATCTCGCAGGGCAAGTGGGCTAATTTCAATCCACATGAAGTCATTATCAGAAAAAACCATGCAAAAAAACTGCAGGTATAGGTACAGGTAGGCATCAGGTAGTGAGTTATGATTATGACTCACTAGTTTTACTCATAACTCACTAGTGAGTTATAGACCACATTATTCATTTAAAATCAAAGTAATTATAGTATCAAATTTGATCAATATCAAGAATTACAGTACTTAGTGCAAATAGATGACTTACTCCTTTGGTTGGTGCTGGTGATACAGTTTTAGGACTATACAGCAATTGTGGTCTTGGTGTCGCAGAAACTGGTACAATTTGTGGCCTAAAGGTAGTAGCTGGTAGCTGAGTCCTGGTAGCTGTGGTTGGAGAAGCTGTCTGTAGTAGTGGTCTTGGAGTTATTGTGACTGGTTGTACTTGTTGCCTGAATAGGTTAAAAGAAACCAGATATTTATGGACATTGCAACTAAGGGGATGCTGATGATGTAAAACACAATTAATGTCCAGATAGACGTAGCCTTATGAATAAAAATTAAGCAATAACTTGACTAGCAAATGCTATACGTGAAAGCAGTGTTGGGTTGAGATTGTTTTTATGTTGTGTTTCTTCAAGACTTTCCCTATCCTGTCTGTCACCCGAGAAATGAAAGGAAGATATGCATTAGCCACCACTGGCTGTTCATCCACGTTTTGTCGTGTGGCAGTTTTGGGACGCATGGCCCTGTAGATTTCAGATGCATTGTATCCATTTCATAGAAAGGCCGACTTGAGGTGATCCAGTTCTTGCTCGAGATGTTGTGGCTCGCATATGTTTCGAGCACTTTCCAGTAACGTTGTTATAATTCCACGTTTTTGCCTTGGATGGTGGTTTGAGAGTGCATGCAGGTACTATATTTTGACCCCCACCTGCAGCCTTCACCTTTACAGGTGGATGATCGGTGTAATACAAAAGTTGTGCAGTTTTAGCTAAATTTTTAGAATCCATCGTCAGAAACAAAAATTTATTATCAGAAATTTAAAATTTTGTGGACTTTCAACCTTTGCCAAATGAAATATCCTATATTGGATTCTATAGATGCTTTTGTTTGGTAATTAGGTCCCAAAAAGTGCTTGACTAATCACACCAGCCTATTAACGTGGATTAGAGACTTACTGCAGGCATGGTCGGCGGTACTTCAACACGCAGCGGATCCGTGTCTCGAATGGATGAAGATGCCATGGAAAAATTTATTTTTAAAGTCTGTACTAATTTTGTGCAGAAGCTTGAGGCTAAGTTTGATGATAAACTGGACAGCATTAATTCCAAGCTTACTAAGGTCTGTGATTCACTAACAAAAATTAATGAGTCCGTTATAACCAACAAAAAGGAAATTGATAGCTTCAATATCAGGATAGACGTTTTGGAACAGCAAGGCAAGAGAAATACTCTGCGAATTTGTGGTTTAGAAGAAACCGATGAAGAAAATCTTTATGAAAAGGTTCCGCGTTTCTTTAGTGAGAACCTTAATACAAGCCCCATCTCTGGGCATAGAGCTCTTGAGTCCTGCACGTGTCAATTCCTTTACATCTATCTTTGACGAAGAAAACTGCACTTCTAGCCTCTATCTTCCAGGCTAGAATCTACGATTTCCAGTGACCATAAGGACTGGATGGCTACCGACTACCGTAATCTACCTTTTCGTTGGAAGTTGGAATTGAGGCTTGTATAGAGTTTCGTTATTATCTTTTATATCTTTTTCTTCTTAATTCCGTTCTATATTCAATTAACATAATTAATTGATCACATTTTTACCGACATTTCCTAGAGATTTTTAAAAGTTTCAATTATGTTATTCTTGACACCAGAGTGTTGTTCAACTGAATAGTTACAATATGTTTGTATTGGGGAGTGGTTGAGGGCTAGATTGCTTTTCTTCAGTAAAGACCTTCACTGAAGAACAACCAAAATTTTGAATTTTACTATCTATTATGATTGCGCGCCTTTGCTCCGGGGTGCAGTTATCTTAAGTTTTCCTTTATGGGAGCTGTGCCGACTTCTGTTTAAGTGATTTCTCTTTTCCGATGGGACAAATCAATTGGACAGTCTGCTGTGTACCACCTTATTGACACAGGCTTGGTAGCAGGAGTTAGAGTCGGGTGGTTCCTTGAGGAATAACGGTGCTTTCAATGGAAAGGGCCATTCTTGAGATAATTGCATTCCTAGGTGTGTTCGTCCGCACACTGATTTCTTTTCTATCCCTTCTTGATTGAAACTTTTTACGGATAACTTGTATATGGCGGCTGATCCCCGTTGTATGCAAGGGATGAAAGGTCTCTGTTACTTCCTCTCCGGGAACTCCGCCCAGAACTAAATATGTACTTATACGTATAAATTGACGTTTTATCTTTTCACTGCATGTGGTCTTTCCCTGTGTAGTTGTTTTGTACCGTTTCTCTTCTTAAGTGTTTTGGATGGCAAAATAATAGTGAATAACGTTGAAAGTTCCGTCAAGTTTTTAGAAGACCGAACCTACTTATAATTCTTTTGTTTTTCTTAATTATGACTTCTCGAGTATGACTCACCAAAAAATTACTCTCCTATCGACGGATGATACACGATAGATATCAGACTAAAAAACTTGACAACGACTTTCAACACTTTTCTTTTCTTTTCTTCCTTAACTATGTGATTTTTTTTATACATCTACTTACCTTACCTAGTTTCTAAGTTTATCGAAAAAAAATATATATATACAGGGTGTCCGTTTTAAGTGATACCACTATTGCTATTTCGCAAACGGTAAGAGATACGAGGTCGGTTAAATTAGAAAAAAGTTGCCTTTTTTGATGCCCAGTCAAGACTTGTTTACAGTGTTGCCGAATTCCTTTTAGTTTAGGAAATACAGGCTGATTTCTAAGAAACACCTACAACTATTTCATCAATTATTTTGAAAACTATTGATTTTCGGGACACAATTTAAATTTGAAAGTTTTATATTTTTTATCGCTTTACAACAAATTTCAAATCCGACGTTTCGTGATCGAGCTACCATCATCAACTTAATTTTTTTAAATACGGACCTAGATTTTTTATGTCATTTTTAGGAAGCTCCCTTTATTTCCTTTTTAACGATATACCTCCTAAGTATGATTGGCCGACGTTTCTGCTTTTAAAGGTGATCCTCAGTGATTTTTACCAAAATTTTACCTTAATTCGGCCCTGTAATTCGTTATTTGTAACAAAGGCGGTCTAACAAGTACTCTTTTCCTTTTATTTAGAACACTTAGAATTATCTAATTATGAACAATATCGAAAATAATGACTTGGAAACTAATTATTATTGTAAATATGTACTCAAATTGAAGTCCATTATTCCTTAAGCATCATCTGCAATTTTTCACAATTTTTTTTTTGAATATTATTTGATATGTATTGTTTTTCATGCAACCGTCCGCGAAATTCAATTTCGCGGCCGCCACACCTTACGTGGTGTGTATTAAGGTGTGTATAGTATACCATGACCGCGAAATTTTGCAGCATTCTTGAGACTATCTTGCCTCGGCCGCAAACAACCAAGGCATTTCGCGGCCTTGGTATACAAATACAGATCGTTTCACCATGGTTCATACTTGACCTTGATACTTGAAAAAAAAGGGTTGTCGTAGATTAATTATTCATATTATGACACATTCAATTTTTTTGACAAATTATGAATGACTTCTGGTTTAAGAACCGACGAATATTTTTGACGTCATTGATTTCTTTCAGTCAATTTCTATTTGTTAAAAAAAAGGCAAATTATGTCAAAACTATGAACCCTGGTGAAACAAAGTTTACATAACTATTATTAATTCTAGTACATCCAGCCCTTATCCTCTCTTTGAATTCTTAATGTCTCTGGTATTTTCGTAAACTCCATAATGAAAATCACTTTACTCTTATTCATTTAACAATTATTATAAAATTAATAAATAATAAAGAAATATTTGACATGTTGCACAGCTGTCAATCTAATTATTTTCAAGGCATTCTTTGATGAAATTTATTTATATTCCATATCACTGATGCCAACCTGAATTTGTGAAATTACAATAATATGTGTGTACGTAATAAGTTTTTAAGTAATTATTTTAATTATTGTTCACAATAAGATAATTTTAAGTGTTCATTCAAAATTATTTTGTTAATTTTGTTCTAAATAATAAAGGAAAATAGTACTTGTTAGACCGTCTTTGTTATAAATGACGAATTCCAGGGCCTAATCAAGGTACAATTTTGGTAAAAATCACTGATGATCACTTTTTCGAGCAGAAACGTCGGCTAATCATACTTAAGAGGTATATCGTTGAAAGAAGAATAAAGTGCGCTTTCTAAAAATGACATAAAAAATCCAGGTCCGCATTTGAAAAAAAAGTTGATGATGGTAGCTCGATCTCGAAACGTCGAATTTGAAATTTAAAGATGCCATGTTGTAAAGCAATAAAAATTATAAAACTTTCGAATTACAATTGTGTTCCGAAAATCAATAGATTTCGAAATAATTGATATATAGTTTTAGGCGTTTCTTAGAAATCACCCTGTATTCCCTAAAGTAAAATGAATTTGGCAACAATGTAAACGAATCTTGAATGGGCATCAAAAAAGGCAACTTTTTTCTAATTTAACCGACCTCGTATCTTTTACCGTTTCGGAGATAGCAATAGTGGTATCACTTAAAACGGACACCCTGTATACTTCATATATATATATATATTTTTCTTTTTGAAGAAGGGCAGTGTAACATTGCGAATGTCACTTGCTTTTTTTTATAAATAATATTTATATTTTAAATTTTCTATAATTATTCAGTCCATGTGGCGGCATCTATTGCCGGCTGAATGTATTATTTTATCGGCGACCTCGAGAATGGAGTAGGCGTTTTTTTTTTGTACTACCTAGATCTATTCGACGCCCAGTACTTAGTTACTCTTTAACCTCGTTAATAGTTTTCGAACGTAGTAATTTTTACATAGTTGAGGGTCGACAGGTTGACAGTGTTTTTCTTCAGTACTGTCAAATGAAATCTATTTATTCTCGAAGAGAAAATTGAAAAGTCCCTTTTCTTATCTGGCCGTTGCCCTGAGAGCTCGACTCTCAATTGTGGCTTCGGGGGCCAGTCATCTTCCGAAATAAATTACCGCTCTCGTGGAAAAAGTATCTTATAATACGAAATAACGTTGCCTAAGACAATAATACATTGATTGCCGAGAAAATTTAAGTAGAAAGTCTTGCGATTGCCGGTTTATTCAAGTTTTAATTTCGAAACCCATGTGGGTTTTTCCGAGGGCCTATTTCTACCGTGGGCCTACTTTGACCTTTATCTTCCGAGAAGCTATTTTTCTCAAGAGATCCTTTTCTACAAACCCTATCTCTGGGCATAGAGCTCTCGAGTCCTGTACGTGTCAATTCCTGTACATCTATATTTGACGAAGAAAACTGAACTTCTAGCCTCTATCTTCCAGGCTAGAATCCACGATTTCCAGTGACCATAAGAACTGGATGGCTACCGACTAGCGTGATCTACCTTTCCGTTGGAAGTTGGAATTGAGGCTTGTATAGAGTTTCGTTATTATCTTTTATATCTTTTTCTTCTTAATTCCGTTCTATATTCAATTAACATAATTAATTGATTACATTTTTACCGACATAACCTATAGATTTTTAAAAGTTTCAATTATGTTATTCTTGAAACCAGAGTGAACTTTATTCTTTTAATTTTATTTTGCCGTATTTACTATAGATTATTTTTTACCTAACTTTTAGTACCGTTATATTTAAATATTGTCTTACATCTTATCTTTTCATAATCATTCATAATCATTTATCTGAACTCAGGTCCAGGTTGGACACTATGTTCTAAATTTGAAATTATTGTGTAAGTAGGTACCTATAACTTCAAAAATTGATCAATTTTTAACCCTTGGTCCTACGACTTGTATATTTGCGGATTTCTATTGAATCTCTAACCATTATATAGCCAGCCCAACTTTTGATTTCTTTCAGGTACAAATTGATTTTATCGAATTTATTTTTCTATATTCGACCGACACAGACTCCAAGCTGAGTGGTGACAAGTGTTCACTAGTCAATAACTTTTTTATTGACAATGTCCCTACCATTTCTGGTGATTCTAATAATTTTATAACTAATGAGTACAAGGACAAGAAACATCCTAATGTTGTCAAAATTTTAAAGTTTATCGAGGTGTCTGATGAATGCATAGAAGAGATTATTTCTGGAATAAAAAGTTCGGCTTTGGGTTGTGACGGTATTGCGACCTTTCTTTGATTACCCCCTTCCTCACACCGTTTATAACAATTATAATAAAGCAATCACTTAAATCCAGCATATTTCCGACAATATGGAAAAGAGCTGATATCATTCCTATACCGAAAAATAGCATGCCTACAGAGATGTCGCATTATAGACCAGTCAGTATACTTCCTTTTATTTCAAAAATCCTTGAACGAGTGATGCTTAAGCAGCTCAACTTATATATTGGGTCTATTTCCTTATTGCCGATGACTCAATCAGGATTCCGTGCCAAACATAGCACATCAATAGCTCTCTTACATGTATGTCATGACCTATTTAGAGCCTTGGACCAAAAGAAAGTGTGTCTTGAAATATAAGGCATTTGATAACCTGGAACATTCAATTCTTTGCACTAAGTTAAAATATTTTGGATTGGGTGGGTCTGCTCTATGCTTAGTGGAGGACTATTTGGAAGGAAGGAGCCTGAGGGTTCGCATTGTCGCTGAGGTTTCTGGTTACAGAGGCATCACCAGGGGAGTTCCGCAAGGTTCTACTTTGGAACCACTATTGTTCTCTTTGTATACCTGTGACTTCCAGAAGCATTCGAGATCTTGCCGTTCACACCAATATGCGGACGACACGCAAATTTATCACTCTTTCCATCATTCGGACACTCTGCAGGCAGCTATGGATGTTAATGCTGATTTGGCAGTTATTTCTGAACTGTCTAGTTCACACAAACTTGTGCTGAATGGATCAAAAACTGAGATAGGTACCATCGTCACCAAAAATAACTGGGACACAAATAATGCATGATAATCTCCTGGACTAATTCTACTGTCATTCATTTCAATGCATTTAATGCATAGTTTGACAAATATTTGACAATAAAATTCATTTAATAGGACAAGAGCTAATATGATGCTGTCCCAGTGACTTTTGGTGACGATGGTACCTACTGATGTATAAATATTAAGAAGGTATTTACTCACTTTCGATTAAAACATTTCCTTTTACGATTTTCCTATATCGTTCAATGACTAGTAAAATGAAATTTTAAACAGTTTGCACAAAACTACTTATCATCCGCAAGCCAGCGGCATGGTCCAGAGTTCTCATTGTTTACTCAATCATCGCCGATCAAATTCCATTGGCATGACCGATAGGATGAGACTAAAAGACTATGTTCGGCTGTGGAAGAACTATCCTTAAAGCTACAGCCACAGAGATGTTGTATGAACAACATTTATGCTTTGGAGAGTTTCTCTGCCAACGGCCATCATCCACCAAGGGTGACGAGAACTTTGTCAGTTTCATCTAGCAATTACGACAGACACTGACTCGCTTCGCGACCCTCTCCAACTTTCATATGATGGAAGCTTTGGAATGGTGAATCACAAAGACGAGACATCTGTCGTTACCTCCGTGGTCGTTACTGTAACAGTGCCGACAGAGTGCCTGAAGCCATCATTCATCATGGCCAATTACATTTACGATGAACGTGAAAAAATTTGGAAGATAAATCAGCTTATTTATTTGAATAACCATATAAATAAAACTAAATTGATAATTTGGATCAAAAACAAAATTGAAGCAAATAAATAAAAAATAAAATTTATACCTGTAAAGTGTTGATACCGGAGTACTGGATGGTACCAATTGATGTTGAGGTCTCTGGTACGCAATTTGCTGTTGTTGAGGCTGTTGCACGTATTGTGGCCTAGCTATGTATTGTGGCCTACTTCTGATGCTTTGAATTGGCTAGAAATAAATATTTTAATTACCAACTTTTTGTATATTTTCTAAAGATTACTGTTGGTGTAGGCCTCAACAATTGCTCCGGCTCAGGTTGTTCTTCTTCTCCTGCTTGTTCATATTGAGTTTGGAATAAGGTAACGGCAGGTTTGGGTGTACTGACAGGTCTTGATAATGGCCCGATTGGTCTCGTTGGGTAGTTAGCTGGGATGTTTTCGTTTTCGGGACTTTCATTTTCTATAACAAACATATTGAATAACTTTTGTTCGGTTATAACCTTAAATTATTACCAGATGCTTGGTCGTCTTCATCTTTCGGTGCATTAGGGTCGCAAGGGTTTCCAGACACATAAGTGAACTCTCTTTTATTACCATCTGGATCTACGTAACCGTATTTGCCTCGTACAACGCAATCGGTACCTCTGGTTTCTTCTTTAAAACTGCCATCGGCAGCTTCATAGCCAAATGTGAAGGAACCGTCATCGTTTACTTTGTTATAATTTCTGTAAAATATAGAGTTAGGCATGGACATAGAAAAATATATGTTACCTTATAGTTTGTACTGGTGGTTCCTTAGGAGTTTCCTTTACTCTTTGGGCTATGTATTGTCGACCTTTGGGCGATTCTCTGGGAATGTAATTATCTCTGTAATTATCTTGAGCAGCTCCCCTTGGGGCTGATGTTGGTTGACCGTATAAACCATTGTATTGATCAGCTGACGACACTTTATAGAAAATTAAATAGGTAACTGAAAAGAAAGTATTTAATTGTTTGTTACCTAAAACAACTCGTTGTCTATTATCAACGTCTTCTTGCGGTTCTGCGGCATAATATTGAATAGTTTCTTCGGTTTCTTCTTGAGGTAGAGGTCGAGGTTGGAGTCTTATTCTTCTAGCTTGTATTTCACTAAGAAATGCAATGCCTATCAATAGGAACAACGGCCACTGGAATAAATGAAATTACATTAATTAGTTTAAGTCATACACATTTGCAATTTTATAATAATTTTGGTCACTTTATATTGTAATTAATTATCTCAATCTCATAATAAGTAGTATAAGTTGAACCGCTTCCTGTAATTAACACTTTAAATATCTGGGTTTAAAACCAATGAGTAAGTATATTGATTAATCACTTTCATTTTCTCATAACAAGCTAGGTCACGTATCATAGATCCTACCAGCCAAGTAAGTACCTACGTTGGGAAAAATATACCTTTGAAAAAATATTATAACGACCGCCTTCATTCGAAATTTTAATATCTGGTAGGCGTTAGCCGTTTCCTAAGTTCATGGTTGGCTGATCCTAATCTAATTCCTCATTGATGTGTTATATTATTTTATAGCATTATTCAACTTTATTGCAGTTTTTTTCTATTAAACAGTTTCTGCAAATATTCGACCACTGAATTGCTTACATACCTTGAGGCAATCAAGCGAACTAATGGAAAACTAATTGCATTTCCAGTGTCGAAATTATTATTAAACTTTTTTTGTAACCATATTTAGGTACCTAGCTAGCTGCAAGGTATACAACGATACATACTTTTTCAGTTTCTGCGTTATTTGCACAGTCAAAAGTCAAGAATATTAGCGTTAATAGCGTTTGAGCCATTTCGAATCAATGGCATTGTAATTCTGGTACAATGAAATTTAATCTTTAAATAACGCAATTATGAGGAATTTGATTGCAAAAAACAAGAAATTGTAATTATTTGAGCAATGACATAATCTACTACATTCATAACATGTTGCACTTTCGCAAATAATTTTACAGCAGACTTGCAATTTACCTATAAGAAGGTAATTGGAGAATAAATTTTCTAAAGCATTTCAAGCGATAAAATTTTCATGTTTACAACGAAAAATATTTTAGAAGACGAACAACAATAAGAGTCTACAAGAAAACCTTAGAAAATCTGCATCTTATTATTGACTAGCTGACCCGGCGAACTTCGTAGCGCCTCTGAATTATTAAATACCTATTAAATGTTGTGTTAACGTATCTATTAGCTGAATTAAATTCAGTTTTTTTTTCGATGGTGAATTTGGCTTTGGTTGAAAAATATTAATGTTTACTCTCTAGATCAGAAGTCACCTAAAATTAAAATTTAACATCATCCCTTTCAAGGCAGCTTGTGGGCATTTTTCTTGTGAAGTGTACCACCAAATAAATAAACTCAGGCAAAGGAATGTTCAAAGAATGTAAAGAAAACAAAAAAAAATCTACAGCGCAGCCCTGTATCACTCTATCTGCACTGCACTACTCCATCTGTTTTACTCTATCTGCACTATTCTATCTGATCTACTATTTCTGCATCACTCTATCTGATCAGAATAGTGGAATAGTTCTGTTCTAAATATCTCCAGTTCCTGAGCAGCATGGTTCTACTGCATCTGCAATAAAATTACCGCGCATCGGTGAGCTTCGTTCTAGGTATCATATATGGCGCCGTATACAAAATGGTTGTGGCGGACTCATAACCTGGCTCTCTGCCACTCGACACCAGCCGGACGGAGCACTCCGAACAGTCGGCACGGAACACGGCTGTCAAGGGATGCCTGAGAGGAGAAACGGAACTTAGCCACAGAACGTCAATGGTCAAGCGTCAAGAAATGACAGGGAGACCAGTTCGCGCTCTTTCGGAATGAACGAACCAACAACAAAATAAAATACACAATTAAAACATTGTAATTCTATTTATTTTTGGACATTTTTACTGTGAAGAACAATTAAAAATAAAGTGCTTTCCTCAAATTGTTTTTGTGCAGTGTGTGACAATAAAATCCACATGGTTTGCAATGAAAATGTGACGGTAAACTTGGTATCGGTTATAAGAGATGGCGCCGAATGCGGGCTTAGTGAGTTTTTTTCATAAATAAGTAAAATAGATAAAAAAAAATTTGTTTTTTTTTTGGATTTTTTCGATTTATTATGTTAGGATAGGATGGACCACGGATGGACAAAGACAAATCGAATAAAGCAAAAATCATAAAAATCAGTCCAGCCGTTCTCGAGTTATAAGCGCTTCCACACCAATACAACTGTGTTTTATATATGTAATATAGATATAAATCCGCTGCACTATTTCATGAGTAGATACTTACCTACAATTTCGACATTGTTAATAGGTATGAAATTATTGAAATTATCCGATATTGAGAAAAAAAAAAGCATAAAATTCATAAATCATACATTATATTACTTCATAATTTATAATTTTCTCGTGAATGTAGAAATCATTGCTTCACTTAGGATTTTTTTTCTATTGAGCATTGTTTGAAACATCACATATTATTAATTTTTTTGAATAAGTTATCGCTATTGTATTATTCTTAAGATATTTGGTATTAATTCATGATTTAGCTAATAGATTAAAAACATCGGGCGCGAATTGATGTGAGTGTGAGAAACGCAAATAAACTGCTGGGTGTTAAAAAAAAATTAGGCGGAAACGAAGTAAACTAATTAAATGCGCTATCCAAACGCAATAAGTATGCATAAAATAAGCAATTTGCGTGGTTACGAACCGCATAATCATTCAAACAATTCCGTGGAAGTGCAAATTCAGCCAAAGAACTGGTTTTGAATCCGTTCGTATGAAAAAAATAACTCGGCTGGTTATTTCAACAGATCACGGAGTCACGCGGTGAAGGACATTTTCTGAAAGGCGTGGTACTTTTACTAGGTACCTACTAGATCACCTAGACGATAAACCCAGTAGGGTATCTCTCATAGATGCTTGTTTAAATAACATTTCGCTATTTAAACGTAATCTCAGCGGTCTTGGGTGGACCAAATAGAACCTTGATCGGACTGGTAGTGAAATAGTGATTTGGCATGGAAGGACCAAATATTTCAATTACATAATTATGTATCACCAACTAGGTCGTACCAAAATTAGCGGAACACCTTTGCTACCATTCATAATATAGGCTCTATAGGGTATACCTAATAGGCGCTTTTCAGGTTCTGTAACTACAATTAATGAATGATTGTAGTATGTTTTTTACCCGATCTAAACGGATGTTGATTTTCTTTATTCTATTTTCTATGTGAATATTTTTACTGGTGCAGTGAAGCAAAAGCTTAAAAGTTACAAACGAATACCTGCTGTTCACCCGGAGAATATAGAACTATGTATAGTTGAACCAAATCCAAGCGGCAGTAATGACATTAAATAACCTAAATTGTAAACAAACACCAGCTGGTAATCCAGCCTTCCAATTGGTTGAAACGTCCGACTACGACCAGTACGCATGCACGGACATTTGATAGGTTGACCAGCTATATCATTACTGCCGCTTGGATTTAGTTCAACTATAGAAGATCAGTGGCTGATCCCTAGTTGTGTTAAATCAAGAAGCTACTCCAAAATCATAATTAACTACTTACATCAAACAATATACGCATCAGAAAAAGCAATAAGTAATTTTAACAAAACCCTCTAGAAATAGCCAGCCGATAACGAACTGCAAGCTGGAAGTCCCTAAATTATGTATGTCTTGTCATTTCCTTGTACTAATCACTGTAAAAATATGTCGAGGCTAACTTTTTATTCATTATTCAACAATATATTATAGGCTCAATATAAATTTAAATGTCTATGTTCATGAAAATATTAGTCCAGTCTTCACATCTAGTGCAAGAACCACGCTCATTCTACAACTTGTTACATAAAAAGCTATATTTCAGGTTCGCTTACAAATCTATATGTCCCAAATTTTAGTTTAATGTCTAAAACTAGATTGGAGTTTTTTTTTTTGCGCTAGCTCTGTCAGTGAAAAAGGAAACACAGTCTTACAATTATTGTACAATTATTGGTTATAAATGTCACCCCCCTCTATCTTTTTTATTCGACATTTTAGAAAAAAGTGTCTCAAATAAAAATTTTATAGTTGAAATTAAATTTTTTGAAAAACTCACTTTCACTTATACAGGGTGTTTCAAAAAGCTGGTAGTGCTCAAACTTTCTTATTTTAAATTGAATACCTGTCTATTATTCAATATTCGGATTCTACGTCGAATTCTGAGCAGATTTCATATGATATACTCTATACCTAAGTTCAACTGTTTTGGAAATATTGACAGTTGAAAATTGACTTTTTTGTAAATTTGACAGGCTGTAAAACCTAAACGGTTAACTTTTGATCAAAACCGATCTTACATTTTTTTCTAAGATTATCACAAGTTATCGATTTGACACCAACTTTGAATTTAACCGAAGATTAAATTTAATTGTTATTTTTAATCATGAATTAAATTCAAAGTTTATGTCAAATATTGGTGTCAACTGATAGTTTATAAAAATTTAAGATGAAAATGTAAGATCGGTTTTGCTCTAAAATTAACCGTTTAGGATTTACAGCCTGTCAAAGTTGCAAAAAAGTCAATATTAAAATGTCAATATTTCCAAAACAGTTGAACTTATGTATAGGGTATATCACATGAAATCTGCTCAGAATTTTACGGAGAATCCAAATATCCAATAATATACAGAGTATTCTATTTAAAATAAGAGATTTGGAGCACGACCAGCTTTTCTGAAACACCCTGTATATGCGAGAGTTAGGTTTTCAAAAAATTCAACTTCAACCATAAAACTTCTATTTGGGACACTTTTTTCTAAAATGTCAAATAAAAAAGATAGAGGGGTGTGAAATTTATAACCAATAACCCTGTACATACAAACACTTGGGTGGGATGTATGTATTGCATAGTAAGTTGTAAATTTTTGTTGCAGGTAAGTAAATAGCAATGGTTATTCCTGGAACTTCAAAATCACAGAGAGGCAAGCGTTGTTAGTTGCATCACCGCCGCAGCATTCCAACAAAAAATCAAAGGGTAGTCCGGATGATAAATGTTAGATATGTAAAGATGCAGAAAGATCAAAACACAATCCCCTTCAGCAACCGAACCAAGAAAAATGGAATAGCATAGCCAAAAAGACAGAAGAATGCAAGGATTTAGGAACCAAATATGATAATGTTTATAAAATAATTGAGGTTAACTCTGTACCAAAAAAATTCACTGTAAGCTTGACATTACTGAACAAAAGCTTGAAAGAGCTCAAAAAAATAAGGAGAAAACCATTGATAGGAGTGGCGACGATCATTAAATGTTTTTAAAAAATTAATCCCGATTAAAAAGTAGCCGTATCACTGCCGTTGATGCTACTTGTGTTTTTTGCACAAAACCACTGGAAGGAAAGGCAGTTCGAAATAGACTTGGTGAACGAATTTCGAAAATATTTCACAGACTAGAAACGTTAGACGCGTGGAATACCTTCTGCAAATCAGTTGAATTTTTTTCAAGATGGAGCTGACCAAGACTAGGTTAGAAAGTTTAAGAACATTTTGCAATAATTCTGGGGGTGTCCTGAAAGCCGCTTCTTCAAATATTCGATATCACAAAGATTGTTAGAAGATTTACTGCAAACCAATTTTCCACATACCTAAATGCGATGGAAAACAAAAAAAAACAGTATTAGCAAAGAGTTCAGTGAGTAAAACAGAATGAAAGTGTTGCATTCAATAAATTGTGTGAATTTGTTGTTGAATGCTTAGACGAAAATTAAGAAGTTTACACAGAGACTTGTTGTATGAGTATGAACAATCGAAGAGAATTATTGATTTTAGACGCAGAAATTAGGAAAACTAGTGACGATAGACACGCCCTACGATCATTCTTCGAGAGAAACTAATAAAGCGTTTTGGAGATGACAATGGCTTCCAAACCAGATACAGACGAAACGAATCATCAATAGTCTTTTTTAAAAAACATGGGGGAGCGTACGTTGAGAGTGCTGTAAATAGCTGGGGCACGCAAACCTCGGTCATTATTAGGAACGTTGCTAAAATTTTACATAGTAAGCACCGCAAAATGTCTAACCCACACTGGCCTTTCCAGATTGAAGTCCTGAAGGTAGACAGTACTTCTAATGACATAAATAATTTAATAGCACTACTTGCGAATCCTAGTGCTAAACTCGAAGAAGGTCGCGCTATAGTTCCGGAACAGCTACAACCAGCTGTATACGTTTTTTATCGGAGCTTATAACTCACTCAATTACTGGCAAACGTCAACCAATGCAAGTAAGTCTGTCCATGTCTGTGCATAACCTAACTGGTAGCAAGGAGCTTAAAAATATCCTAAGGAAATTGAAAATTAGAATCTCGTATGATGATGTCCTTGATGAATTAGCAGCGTTGGAGATTCAGGAACGCAGAAGACAAGAAAATTTTCAAACTGGATCTCTATCTAGATCTTCTGTGTCCTCAACAGGTAGCATCATTCCAGCCAGGTACCGTTGTCATGGATAATGACGACTTCCAAGAAGACGGGCTTATGCTTAAGAGTTGCGAAACAAGTGATTATACGAATGTTATAATGGCATAACAAAGTTCATTTTCCTGTGAATATGGTGCAGTTGATTTAGATTTATGTATACCAACGCCTGAAATGAAAAAAAAATATAAAAAAAATATATATATATGCTGCCCAATATTTCCAAAAGATTTAAGCAATAATAAAACACGTGTTGAAGTACAGCCGAAATCATTTGAAATTACTGAAGGGCATCCCACCGCTCATAGAATAATCTACTATGCATTAATTCGCTATATTACAATTGGCCAAAATTTACCATCATTTACCGGTTTTCATTGCAGCCTACAAAGTGATGTGGTTAAGTGGGAAACATATAATGTAAAATCTTACTCGCAGCCCCCATGCAAAGAAGTAGTAAACATTATGTTGGACTGGTGTCAGCTAGTTGCAGAACAAAAGCAAATACCACTTATTCAACTAAATAGTTGGTGACCAAGTAGTTTATAAATACATATATTGAAGAATGTCTATGTCAAAATCCAGATAAATGGCCTATTGTTAAGGGCGTCTAGAGAGGATTTCATACAGAAATGTCTTATTTGAATGCACTGGGAAAACGGTTAGAAGGTTGTGGCATCGGGGAATTAGCTGTGGATGTATAGTCAGGTGTTGTTGCTGCAGGTAGTGTCAAGCAAGCATTAAGTGGAAAACATTACAACAAGGCAATGCAACTACACATATTAATATCAGAATCTTTATTACGCATGTTAATTGGATGCTGCTTAGAAAATTACCCTAATATTCTTGGTAGTCTAAATCTGGAGGAATTGGCATCGACAGAAGAACAGGCAGAAGAAGTCGTTATGTGAGATTCGTTTAATAATTTTGTACTTGTCATGTTTGCGGAGATTTTAGGATCTTAATCAGAAATGGCAAAATTTTAGCTATCCTATATCATTGATGTCTAGGTTCTATTCCAGTTTTACCACTGCCTGAGAAGTGGGGTTAGTTTTGATAAGTATTTAGACAGTTGTCGTACAATGCTTCCTTTCCTAGCAGCATACGGCAATGTGAATTATTTGCGATACCTTTCACTTCATTTCTGGCGTATGTCTACCTTAACACCAACTGAGAAAAAACATATGGCTGCAATCTACTCATTTTCTTCAACAGGCAAGAATTACAGTAAATTACCTCCTGACCAAGTTATAGAAATGACTATGAATAAACAGTCAAAAAATCGAAGAACTGGTGGTTGGGTAGAATTTTCCAAGAATCTGTCTATGATTGCCATTAGCATACTAAGTAGGCCTTTCGTGTTGTACATTAGGCAACAACTACAAGAAACTATATGTTTGAAAAAACCTCTTTACCGTCACCCAGAGTTAGGCCCATCGAGATTGAAAAAAGATGTCGAGGTTACTAGTTCTGTAAAAGTTGCACTTGAGGAATGGGATGCAGACCCTTGGGATCTTACCAGACCAATCCTCTGCACTGGTCAGCCAGCAACAACTGGAGTACTAAATAGTTTGCGCACAGACCATGAAGATGGTAATTCAATGAGTGAGACGTTTGCTACAAAAACTGTACCTAATAAACCAAAACAACAACTAAGAAAATCAGTTAATCATGCTGGAACAAAGCAGGTCGTCGATCTGTTGACCACTGGACAAAATTCCACAATGACGCTCGAAGATTAAATGCAACACAGACTAACAGAGATCAGTTTACCATTATTTTCAGCTGATGGCATGTTTCATAAGCCTAATAAATCCAAATTTATAACATCTTTAAACCTCCAGCCTGTGTTACCACCGACACAATACCATGTCATAGTTGATGTTGGAATGGCTTGGAATAAGGTACCAGCTTGCAAGACATGGAGTCAGTTCGCGGTAAATCTTATTAAATTAATACGATGAGAGAGTATTTATGAAAAGTGTGAAGCACCATGAGTCGAATGCAATCGCACGGCTTTGTTCCAAAAAATGTATATCCTGTGGCTGACCAGCAAATGCCTACAGGTGAATCATGGCGTTCTGTCCTCTTGAAACCGGAAAACAAACGAAGGCTGCAAGAATTTCTTTTAAAAGAATGGGTCAAATATGATCATAATGCTGATTGGTGTTGCACAAGAGGCCTCCTTTGCTATAACCTTACAACTGCGAACGAATGCGATCCCCGATTTGAGGCATCCTCCCCATCTGAAGCAGATATTAGAGCATTTTTCCAAACGGCACAATTAAGCGATTCTCATTCGGTTGAATCTGCGTCTTGTTAAGGTTGATCTCTAGGCCGATTCTGCTGGTATGGTTGAATGGATTGATAATTACCTGAAAATCTTTCTCTGTATTGGTTATCACGACGTTATCATTCGCATATTGGAATTGAATTATTGATGTCGTCGATACATCAAGTCTGTACAGGATTTCCACTCCTGATGGCAGGTGACCCTCGAGAAGGTGAAGTATGGATCCTGGAGAAAATAAAGTTGGTGCAATAACACAGCCCAGTTTAACGCTCGTAGTTATTTGAAAAGACTCTCCTTGCTTAGGACAGCTGCATTCCTATTATCATGCAGCATACGGAGTATTCTAATGAATGTAGGTACCAACTTTTGCGAAAGCCCAAGCCAATATCCTTCAAAGAGCGTCTGTGTTGACCAAATCCAATGCTTTCACTAAATCTATGAAGGCCATGTATAAATATACATATAGCGATTTTGTTTTCTGGATTTCTCTTATATTGAAAATCATGTCAGCTGTACCTCGGTTGGGTCTAAAGCCACACCGTATCCCTGGGAGGTTCTGTTCGGCAGCTGGGATTGAACAATTTGATAATATCCTGGCAAGTATTTTTTCCGCGACAAAAAGGGAAGATATTTCTCTGTAGTATACACCTTGAGCCTTGTCTACCTTTTTAAAAATGGCAACTATGGAGGCATCTCTAAGTTAGGCAGGTATGGTCTCAGAAATCTATGTTTAACCTATTATTAGACATAATTATGCAAATTTGAAAAATCAACATGAAAATTTCACTTGTAAATCGGTATCTAAACATCTGACAATATAGCCCAACACACACGCTTGATTTGTCTTATGTCAGTTAGTTGAAGCATCGGAAACGCGCGTTAATCATTCTTTTTTGAAAATAAAATGTTTACAAACGTCGCCAGAATTTACAGGGAAATATTCCCCAAGAGCACCCACCTGATGTCCCTGATGAAAGAACATGCATAGTGCCCGTTTTACAGAGATTGCGTGATATGGGAAGTGTGAGTGTGCAAAATCTGCGTGTGGATTTGAGTGTTTTGAGAACCTTTTAACAAAAATTAATATTTTCGTAGTAAGAATTTGGCAAGTAGCTGAGTAAGTATTAATTAATTTTTCTCTTGAATGTTTAGTGTATAATGTCATTGAGTGCAATTCACAACTTAATAAAACGGCACATTTTTTATTTTTACTAGAAAAGTGATAAAAATCCACGTTATTATCTACATTATTTGAAAGCCAATACCAAACCAAAACGTAAACAGATGGAAATAAATAAACTCTTTGCCAAAAAAAAAACCTTTAAATTTAGCAGTTTTATTAACATTTATATCCTGGCAGAGATAATGGGTACCTGTACGATGTTGCCACGTTGTTAACATTTTTCTCAATTTAAATTCTGCGATAACTCCGAAAATACTAGCAATTGACCCTTGGTTAATAGGAGAGTTTTAGCTTGAAATGGGCCATATTATCTCATGTTAAAATATTCGTACTTATACCTGATACACCCTGTATATAGGAAACAGACTTTCTACCATGTTAATACATTTATCATATCATTTTATCACTTACGAATATCCACCATTGTTTATTACTGTTTATAAGTATAGCTTAATGCTACCTATACCTATGCCTTAGACAACTATGTAGAAATTCCGATAATATAACGCCTAAAAGAAACAATAAACATTTGACTCAAGCCAATCAAAGTCATAAAATAAAGGTATTGTACCGCGATCTGTTTACTCCAGTATCTTAAAAAATACTTTCGTTATGTCAAAACATTATACTTTCTACTTGAAGGCAACCGAGCATGTCTTTAGGGAAGTTATTCACCTACATAGCCGATACCAAAGGTGATTAGGGCGTATGTATTTGGGTAACTCACGCTTTGGTTACAGAATACAACTATTCTTTCGTATAAAAAATAGGTTGGGGTTGGTCCCTTACGTAACAATGGTAATGGCATTTGGCTTAAAATATAAAATATTTATACGTGCATAGGTATGATAAATCTTTATGAGTTAAGTTCCTTATTCAGTTTTCTAATTTTTAGCCTTGCTATAGTTCGGTATAAATAAATAAGTACCTACTCATACAGATAAAATCACAGGTATATCCAGCTTGACTTCCACTAACATTTATGTGCATTTTATAAATGTGTATGATAATATTAAGCAGAAGACCTCCCCACCACCAATACAAATATGGATCTCGTTAATCTTTAGAACAAGATTATTTTAATTCAAATAACAATCAACATCTTACACCTAATATGTAGATATATGAAATACTGTCGGGTAATAAGTATTTGCAATTCGAAAGAACACACCTTGATAATGTTTCTTGCAGAATCATTGCGTTTTTATGACAAAAAAAAACAGTATCCAAAAATGTATTAAAACATAGGTATCTATTACTAAACAAGAGGGTGTTGCAACTAACTTTTGAATAATAAAATGTTTCTTTTTAAATTTAATAACAATATTACCCATTGTTGTAGAAAAACTTTTTTCTTATCTTCTCTTGCCATTCTTGAAGAAAATGGAGGTTTTTGTCGTCCGAACAATGAAATTGTGTGAAATATTTTGACATGGGTTTTTATTATGTAATAGCTTATTATAACTTGTAGGTGTAGAATATTAATAATTCTCAACTAATTGGGTTTTTTGGTAACTTTTGCAGGTTTTTATGAAATTGAAATTTGAAGTTAAACACATATTTCAATAAGATTTTTATTGAATTGGCTTTTACTAGGTGGAAATCCATGATCTAATAAAAGATTTTTTAAGTAAATTTTTATACTTATTTATTTCCACTAATTACTTAAACTGCACAAAAAGTCATGCACAAAAGAAAAGTTGAGACAGTTTTTAACAAGACAAATGCCCCAAAACCCTCATCACGTAGAAGACTTCACATATTCGTGAAATTATTTGGCCGAGGCAGAAAAAAGAAAGAAAACCTTTTTCAAAGCTTTCTAGTAATATTACATGTAACGAATACGTGCATCTTTGGTATCTTTAAACATTGTAGGTAATTATATTTCCACTTTACAACTGAAATTCATTTATATCTCGATTTTATCAAGAGAATTTATCTTACAGATACAATCACGGATGTCACTTATGGTACCAGGCATCTAACAGGCAAACGTAAGTAAAGGAACAAACAAGTTTCTAGATTTACAAAATCCATTTTGTCTGAAGAAGACACCGTGTACTGAAACATGTAACGGCAAAAATCATGATTTTGTTAACACAATTTTGCCAGATTTAAATCACAGATGATTATAAATAATTGTAGATCTTCATAAAGTTAGTTAGTTAGTTCGCAGTAAATGGAACATATTATAATTAGTTCACTGGCTCTTTACCGTACATAAAACTGGGTGTTCCAATAAGAGTTTCCGGATATTTTTCAAACAATTACTACTTCATAACCATGAGTAACCTCAGTTACCTGATCGTTTACAATTACGCTTGAAACACACAATATCGAACAAATGTCCACCGCGAGTTCTCTAGCAGGACACAACTCTTTTGCCAAAAGTTTCGTTCACATCTGACTACATTTCCGGTGGTATCTTACGAATAATGCGCCGATTCTCACCTTCCAATCATTGAATTGTTTGGGGATTGTTCACATAAGCTTTACTTTTGATGTAACTCCACAAAAAAAGTCTAGCGGCGTTAGATTTAGGCGGCCAATTAAATTAACATCCCCATTTCTTGACAGATGACAGTTATTCAATTTTCATTTTTACTTTGCATTAAATTGGATTGTTCAATCCAATTTGTTATTAGTGTGTGTCAAGGAGAGATCACAGATCAGTTGAATAATTGTTATTTTGTTAATATGTTTTTTTTGTTTGTTTATAACATCTTCCCATAACATGTGCATTGTTCATGTATTTAACAAAAATCGTTTCATGCTGTAAACAATACCGATAAAGAGTAAATTAAAAACTAAAAAAATTATGTGCTGTCTCTTTGTGCTAGGATTTCGATTTTTGGATTTAGAGCGTGTATTAGGGCCTTGTTGAATTTACTAACATTTTCCTACCCTGACGAGAGAATATCCTAACAAATTGAAATAATCAATCTAGAGATATTGGCTCAAAAACAACTATAGCTGAGTAGCGTCCCGTATGGGACCTCAGTACCTGCTGGGAAACTGGCTAACTAACCAAAAACTCTTCAGTATTGAATATAGGTAGTGTCGATTGAATGTAGTGTGTGTAATTGAAATTTTAGCACAAGAACAGGGGCGGTACCTAGTTTCAACTTTTATTGAATTAATGACTCACAATTATTATTAAAATAACACAGTATGTTTCGATTTTTGAGGAATGTTAGTTCGAGGGTTTCTATGCCGTGCTCTTTCCCCTCGTAAGTTTCAGGATGAGAACGGTACGATTTTCTTTA